TTAAAAAATTTAATCATTTATAGATAGACTGTACCTTTTTGTATTTGTCACCTTTATTCTCGATGGCCGGTTTAGAGGCTGTGCTCTGTAGAGATGCATCACATCGATAGTAACTGAATAACTGAATTTCCTGGACCTGGTGTATAACTACTCCTAACTTGGCTAAACAGTACACATTACAAAAACATGAACATTTACTTTACACTATTTGTGCGGTATGCAAGGACTTACAGTATAAAGCAATATAATCAGAGTATAACTAAAACTTAATACTGAATACATTAAAGAGTAGCTGCTATGACTGCAGTTCTTAACAGTGGTGATATGTGAACTAACCACTTCAAGAGGTGACTTTTCTGTTCCAATGCCATTGGCTGGAGTGTCTAAAAAGGAGGACAAAAAATATCATACTCATTCAGGATTTATTCAGTGGTTGAGAATGATACAACTGAGCACAAATGAAACAACTGGACACATAATAACTACTTAGTATTTACATACGAACTAAACTAACCCCAAAGGACATGAGGAATCTGATTCAGCTCTAGTATCTTTACATGTTTACTCTATCCATACTCTAAAGAGTTATAATACAGTCTATTAAAAAAAAGCAAAAATTACTTGTATAGGGTGTTCTTTTTGTCTTCTTTCACAACTTGTATATTTAGTTGTTTTTGTGATTATGTTTATTCTTGTGATGTAGCCCATTTATTTCTCTCACCAATAAAATAAAGCCTGTAACTTAGTACAATTGCTGGAATTGGTGTGGCTGCAGTTCTTCACACTTTGTACTGTCACCTACTTGATGCAAGAGAGAAGGAACGATGCACACTTCCAGCTCCGCCGCTGCTAAAAACGGCAGTGGCCTCAGAAATCTTCATCTTGGCTGGGGTGACCACCTGGAGGGAAAATCAGATGTCTATAAATCTTTATGATGGTCTGTTTTGTAGATTTTATTTCACATCAATAATAACACAGAAGTCTTTACAGAATAACTTCTGTGTTTAAGAGGAATTTAGTGTTTAATCCATGGTGAGGAAAATACTGCTCAATATTTATTTGGTGGCTTGTGTGCTCCCTCTGCTGTTAAGTTTCAGGTGTGCCTTTCTATTGAAGTATCACAACCAAGAGTTGTCTTACACTTTCATTATATAACTGATGCCAGCCTTAAAAAAGATGTTAGAGTGTAGCTGTTAGCATTTATATTAATAAATGAATAAATATTTGCAAATACTGGCTTTAGCTGAGGAATTGTTTGTTGTATCAATCTTCGTTAACTTCCAACTTGTGTTTTGACTCATTCGTTTTCTCTGAACTGATCTTTTTCTGCTTTCCTTCTTATTTTGCAGGTAGTTGCATGTGCTGTATGTGTTGCATTGCTACATTAAATAATATTATACACATTACAGGGATTTTCCTGCATATCTCTAGAAGCAGCTAGTATTTTAACCGTTTTCAGTGGGGTTTCATTTATAAAGCAGAATTTTGTTCATACCCAGAAATACCAGGAAAAATATGCACACTTCTGTAAAGTAAGCTAAAACACTGCCTTCACTGACTTAACTTTATGTTGATATCAATCATGGTATGCCCCTGCTCCCACTCCATTTTCCTGTCTAGTCTAAACTGTCTGTAATTTACAATTTAAATCTCTACCTGTGCTGGTTCAGCTGTAGCAGGTAAAACGTAGTTGACAGTACTTTTTTCACTTTCACCAAGAGACACCTGGCTCTCTGGAACAACCTAAAAAAAGATGAACATACAGGATGAAAAATCTTTTTAGACATTAACAAAAGATTTCTGATACAATAAAACCACATGAATAAAAAAACCCACACAGAAAAGCTTGCACCCATTATAATTTCGATTTAAATTAATAATAAATATTATACATTTCAATATATTACACTAGCAAATGTCCTTGGAGAAGATACAGAAAGCACTGAAGCATAAAGCGCTTTGAGAATCCGAGGACAAAAGCGCTATAGGAACCAGTCAATTTACCATTTAAACCCAACTCCAGCTCAAATATTGACAGTTTAATAAACACTGGAATCTGAGATGACAACTAATTATTACAGAAGTACAATAAGAGCATTACGTTGACAAACCAATGTTTACCTGAGTGTTGTTCTCCATTAAAGATCTAGCTGTAGCTTTCACTACAGATGAGCCCTGACGGAAGAAGAAAGTCTTAATCCAAATACTTAAATTCATCATGACCACAGTTTAGCTTCTGTTTGGAGCCCCATTCTATCAGTGGAAAATATAGACTTTTCCACTTGGTGTGAAAGTCTTTTTAACATTAATGTATACCTTAGAATTTACTTGTCATGTATCTATTGTGGTGTAGCAAGAAAATTCAGTAAAGACAGATAGACTCTACTTTATTTTTGCTGTGTTCATAGACATTTTGCACAGCCTGCAGGATGTCCAGTGAGGAGCTGAAATGGATCGTAAGAGTGGATCCTTCAGCTGCACCAACAATGACCACCTCTGACAGCTTGATCTGCAAGACCTGCCTCTTACCCTCCTCTGGACATTAAGAAATTTTTTATTAGAGCAAATACTTATACGAAATGGCAAAGTCGCATGCAAATAAAAATTCAGTGAATGCGAGCAGGCACAAATGCATTGGCCTTTGTGTATACATTACCTTTTACAGTGTAGCTTTGGACTTCATGCTCATTGAGACATATAGTTTCCCAGTGGCTATCCTTCGAGGGTAAACCAAAGTTTGTTAAGCAGATGTTGACTGTACTAAGCAAAAGTTGAGATTTTTTAATGTGTATATTACTATGTATATTGTATATGTGTGTATATTACTGATTTGAGGTATCTGTACCTCTTCATCAGCCAAGGAGAAGTAAAAAGAGATGCTGTGGCTGCCGAGGTTGAAGTCAATCCAGAATTCCTCAAGTTTCTCATCTGAGGGCATCAGCAGCTGACAACATAACCACAACCTTATTATAACAGCAACTTATAGTATTAACAATACAGCATGAATTTGGACATAAGCTGTTATTAGATTAAACAGACTAGGACTGTGTGGTGAGAGATACCTTATGTGTGTTCAGACAATTAATAACTGAGTTGTTTCAAATTCAGTTTTGTTTTTCACATTTTAGAACAGAATCCCTGTTGATACTGACCTCACTGCTGTCCAGATAAGCTTCCAAACAAGGGTAGGAATACACCCTACAGTGCACAAAGAATTGTGTCATCAGAACTTTCAGTAAATCTTTCCAGTCAAAATGGCCCAAATACAGAATGTAATTAGAGATTTTTATTAAAAGAGCTTGGCGAAAGAGTTTGTAAAATGCAATATTCTTAGAGAAATAGACAAACATATGAAAATTCATATTAACTCAGGTTTAGAATGAAAGTTACAAATGAAACCACATGTGTTGTATAGCACTGAGCTCTGTTATGTATGTACCTTCTCTTGTCTCCCTGCATCCCATTCACCATGTTTAGAAACGTACGACAAGCCTGAAATCACACACACTTGCATTCAATTTTATGCAGCCTTTCAGCATAAACAACATCAGCAACAGCACCAGTACATCAAAAATCAAAAGCAAATATAAAATAAACCAAAACAGACTAATGTTACCGTCTCAAATTCAGAATCACGTATTTTGGCAAATGCACTGGCCACAAGGCTCATTCTGAACCATTTATATGCAAGTTCCTTCCTCTGGTCAGTTGTGGCCATTCTGCACAATGCCTCCATCAAGGATGACTGAAAGTCATAGTCTGAGGGGGAAACAGAAACAGTGTTTTACATATTTTATTTTTAATAGTAATTCTGGGTAAAGAGAAATGTATAAAGAAAGCTTACCACCAACATCCATTATATGATCAGCCAGTTTGATCCTGTAATCAAATGAGCAATCTACTTCTTAATAATTAGTAAATGTGGTAATTCATTCTTGATTGTGATCATTCATGTTTCCAATTGTATTACATTTAATGTTAATAATCATTTAAGAGAACTACTGACATACATGATATCAGAGGCCTCTTGTGACATTAGGATCTTCGTGTCTTTTTTAAGTTCCACTGGGATTTTATCCAGAATTAAGTTGAATTTCCGAATCGCCTGTTAAAACATTATTAGGCAGTTAATCAGCTGTACCAAACAGAGGTCTTTCAGGTTCAGTGTTACTCTAAAAAAAATTAGAAAAACTATTGTAAACCTCTTTCTGGATCAGGACGTAGATTCTAGGGTCAACAGCCAACTGGCCAATAGGATACAGAAAGGACTCAGTGATTTTGTATGTCCCTGCAAAAATTAAATAAAACATGGTATAGCAGACAAAGTCAATACTTTCTTCTTGTATACAGAGTCATCATTAAATTGCTGTAAACTTATTAGAAACCTCTTTAAAGTTAGAAACTCTTATCCATCTTACACTTAAATATGTCCCGATTCACTTTTTTAAACAGTATAAAAAGATGTCATTATCTACAGTACATAGAGATATGTACATCCATACCCTCTTCGCATGCCTGATGAACTACCTTTAACATAGAGAAAGTAAAAACAAACCAAATTAAGAATACTGAAACAGTTGACTTTACAAAGTGTGTTTCTTATTAGAAGTTAGCTCACCGTTAAAGCATTTAAAAAGTCTTCAGAGAGGTTTATTAAGTTCTCATCCCACTGCAGCCCACACTGAATCCACAGTTGTCTGCATTTTTCAAACCACTCCACCATCTGCACAAAAAAGGGTTCAATCAGACTACATAAGTTTACAGAACCCACATAGTATGTACCTTTATGTATTATTACGTGTGTACTCATCTTTTTTATTAGACCCTGTGCTATTAACCCCAAAAGTCCTTGGTCACCACCAGGTAGTATTAGGTGTTTTCCACACTTGTAAAGACTGGCAAATCCCAGACTGGCCAATTTGGGGTCTTTTTGAACCAAACCCTATGGAACATAAATATGGTTTCATTAATTCCACTGATAACGCAGCATCATATTGTGTAACTGGGTGTTTTGAGTTTTATCTCACCCTGCAGATAAGTTTATCCAATTTGCTGAGAAACTGTTGAGAGCATTTCATGGGAGTCTCTTCATAAATCTCCCTCTGCAAGAACACATCCAGTGCTCGGACATCTCCGGACTTTACCGCCTCACTGATTATGTGCTCCAACTAAAAGGTTGAAGTATACAATTTACTTTTCACCATTAGGCCTGAATATTGATTAATTAAGTGATAGGAATATTTACAAAGGGAGAAAGTGTATGCATTCCCACCTGAGTGTTCTGTGCAGGTGCCATCCTTGTGAGAAAAGGTTTTAGCCTCTTTAAATTGACTGTAAACAAAAACAGCAGACATAAACCTACCAATCATAGGCCTATCTTAAAAGACCTCACTTTATATAAATTATGTATTGACATGTAATTTTCAGAAGTTTAATTAATTTGCCATCAAAACGCTAAACACTAAGTTATCTGTTATCTTCACATGAGCCTACATGAGATGCTTTATATAAATGTATTGCAGTACATGCAATCTGAGCTATGTCATGAGATATGCTGCTAACCTTTATGACCTAATCAGGCTTTATTGAAGTTAGCTAGCTTAACTTTGATGCTAATAGAAGCTAAACTTTCTCCGAGCCAACAATAATTTCAGACCATAACCATCAGCTAGCCCGGGATTACTACATACCTTAGGGAGATAATATTATATACACAGCTCTACTTACTGTGCTGTCAAATTTGGCACAAAAAGAGGACATGACAGGTTGCTTCTTATTTTAAGTTTTTCAGTTGATCCCCACAACGCGCGCGAAGTCTTTGCATTCTTTGCGCACGCGCGAGAGGGTTTACGTCCAGCCGGAACTGTCGACTCCGTTCATAATACAGTAAGACAACATTAAATACATTTTTAAAAAATCCTGTATACAGGCACTGTTGCTCAGCAGCTCTTTAGTCTGATTGATTTGAAATAGATCTGCTTATTCACCAGGGACAAGAGAACCATGTTTAGATTTTTTTTTTCTGTTTTGCGGTATAGTAAGTAATATTAAAGGGTAAACTGTAAGTATTTGTACTTAATTTTGTTCACATTTTTAAACTTTCTTTTCTACTACAGTTGTCTGACTGCTTTATTTATCAGTTACTTTTCAGGATCTTGCCTTTCTGTCCAGTTATACTATCCTCCCCATGTGATTTTTAACTTGATATCTTCCTGATAAACTACACCTACAGGAGATGCTTGGCCATGAAACCCATATCAAGAAGCGCCTGGTGTTATGTTAGTGCGAGAGGAGTTTTGGAGTTCTGCACTTACTGAGTCAGCAGAGCGTTGCCAGCTTTTAGGGACCATGTGCCTCAAGTCTCAGCAACCCCGGTGTGTAACTTTATATGGTCTGCCACTTCGTGGGTGGCTGTGGTTTCTAAATACTTCCACTTTTCAAAAATACCTCTTACGGTTAATGTTGGAATATCTAGGTGGGAAAAATTTCCAGGAAATGACTCTTTAAAAATGTGGCATTCTATTACAATACAACGCTCAAATTCAAATTGAGCTCTTCAAACCTACCAATTATTTTACAAATGTTTGCTAAGCTTGAACACATGGCTATAGATGCTTGGTTTTATACACATGAATTCAAAGAGTGAGACATGCGACCCAATACTTTTGTCCTCATAGTGTATTTAAACACCTTTAAAAAAGAAAAGAAAAAACTTACAAAGCTAAAAACATGGTTGTTTTTCTGACAAGACAACAACACTACTAACTGAAAACGCTACGTCTAGATGAACAGAATCAATTTTTGGGGAACCCTACTAACATCTTCCTATAGAACCCATTGTTCTGCAATAAACTACGCAGCAGCAATTAAACTTAGCCCCATTTTCAACATTACAGCAGTGAAATGCAATACACACAGGTATCAGGGCAACAGCAATTCAACAACAACAACACATATAAAAGGAAAACACAATCAGGAAGCATGTTTCCTGATAATACTTGCATATTCACACCTAAGTAAGATTTAGAATACAGGATTTTAGCTGGTAGTGGGTATTTTCACAGTGTGGTAGGCCTACTGCTACTTAGAATCTGCCACTTTTGCAAATATAAAACATTACATTTCCCTTGAGAGTAAAGTCATTTATTCTCTTATAGCTGAAATATTTACAAAATATGTTTGTTCGAGTATTCTGTAATTAGGAATATACATAACAGCTTTTTTTTAGAAAGGCATCTTCAAGCCCATTTGAGATGCAGGACTCCTGCATTTCATAAGCTAAATATGGCTTAGCACATGAGAGACATGTACACTGTATCTATGGCATGTTTTGACAACATTTGACTTCCAAATACAGATCCTAAAAACTCAGCAAACCGGTCCAGAAGACCAACATCCAGCTGGTAGAAAGCCTGGACTGTGAAGTCCATTAATTTCATTTTAACCCAAAAATTTTGTATGGGATGTTCCCACACTGAAGTGCAACGTTTATTAGGAAAATATAACAATTCAGTGCAATTTTTACAAACAAAAATACAAGTGGCAGTAAAGCTGGCACCAGGTGTAAGTGCACTTGTGTGTGTGTGTGTTTTATTCAAACTGCTATTATGCCAGCACTACTAAGAGCATCAACAGTTTCCTGTGTGTGGTTATGCCTCCATCAGTGCATTTTATCTTATTGCCATTAACATTACACATAAAATACCCCCCAAAAAGACAAATCCCAAAGGATTTTATGGCAAGCTATAGCACGCTCAAAAACGTATTTTTTATGCAGATTGGTTAAAAATTGCAAAAATGACCCCAAACGGCCTTGACAGATGTGTTTACCGAGTGTTTTTTGTATAGATATTGCTACATGTAATCATTAAGTGTTCTAATGCTCAAACTCTTCTCCCTTTTGTGTGCATACTAACTAAGTGAAGTGCACCATGCTATCCTCGCATTCTTTGGGCACAGAGAGCTTGTAGTTCTTGCAAATTAATTTATAATTCTTTCCATTGTTGTTGTCCCAGTACTCAGCACCACAGACTTTGTACTGAATGGCAAACTCTAACACTGCTTCTGGTTGCAGGAATGGAGGTACAGGCAGATGAAAACGAAATGTATCGCAGCTGATTTGGCCCATTCTGCCCTCACAGTTCTTAGTGATGCTGGACACCCAAGAGGCCTTAGCTTCTGCACAACTCTTCCATCCTGTAAAAGAATAACGAGCCGTCACATCTTTCTCAAAGTCCAAATTGAGGACTTGGGTGATTCCGATGACCCCCAACTCAAAACACAAGACTCTTTCAAGACAAACTTTCTGCTCATGGAGACGATGCAGGAATCCTGGATGGTCTCCAGGTTGCTGGGCAAATGCTGGCTTCAGGTATGGCAAAGAAATCTCCATATGCCTTCCATCTGCCATCTCTGCACTCATCAACAGTCTAAAGGTAACATGATGGGGCACAAGTGGATCCTCTCCCGATTTAAAAATCTTGACGTCTTCCAGGTCCAGTCCCAAAGAGTCAACAAACCGTACGCCAACACTTCTGCACTGCTTCTTCTTGTCAGTGGCAGAAGGCAGCGAGTGCGACCGCTGACGGATGATGGGTTTAGGCGTAGGTTCACAGGAGAGACTGCGGTGAAACTGTTGTTTTGGGAATGAAACTCTGGGGCTCGGGGGACGGATTGGAACTGGCTTCTTCTGCACATTAGGCTTGTCAGCCCGGAGCATTTCAGTCAGGTTAATAGTAACACATGACCTCCTCTGTTCAGACTGTGCTGGAGGAATCCTCTCAAGTCCAATAAACCACCCTTTATCCATGTGTGGTGAGAACAGGGGTTCAGTTCACCTGTAAAGTTGGGAAGTAAAAGCATAAGCTTCAGCATCAGCTTACTAAATGCAACAAGCCATGAAGCAACTTTCAAAAGAGCAACTTTGACGTTTAAACAGTAGAGAGTGGGCGTGTACTCGGGGAGTACGTGCCCGCATGCATGCATACGGTCTTTTTCTGCCTCTCTAAATGACTGCAGTATTCCTGAAACTGCCTTTAACATCACTTGCTGCAATCAGACGTTGACATCACCTCACCATGTGAAGATGCGAAGAGTCAGTCACGTATAAGCTGTAGGAAGCAGCCCAATCTCGATCCTCCATGTAGAGTAGTATTATCAGTGCTGCGTGTAGTGCCTGTTATTGGTTGCAACCGCGTAGCCTGATTTGTAACTGCTAACTGCCTTCATCGCTCTCCAACATCCCATACATGCATTCAACGTGAGGTCTATACAGATCAGCTGACGTGCTCGCAGTTAACAGGAAACTACACACGGACCAGAATGACGTCGCATGGGTGATTGAGTACTTTAAATGAAGCGGGTGCGAGTTCACGCTGTTTAACTCCTTCTCTGGGACACGGTCCTCATCGGATCCCATCTTGTGCACTCCATTTGCTTATCGACTGCAAGCAAGACTCTGCAAAAAAGGGGCTTCAGCAAACGCTTTAAAATGAAGCCAGCGCGCTTTTAACTGCAACTCCCATGATGCACCGGTGACGCTCGCTTCGACACGAACAGGCGAGCCAGTCAGCAGCAGGTAAACAAACCTATCTGACTGGGACGGCGAGCCAAACAAAGCGTTTGCGCCGTGTCACCGTCTCGCATTTGTAATGGTGATGAGGACGACATCGGGGAAGGAGACGCGCCAGCTGTCAGCAAGCGATTCAAATAAAAGCTGATCTGCGATCGAGCAGCGGGGCCATACGACGGAGATTAGGAGGACGCGTTTCAACCTGCGGATACAGGGGACGCTTGACATCTACGCACGATGCACTGCAGCATTTTTGAGAAAATGGGTGTTTTTAGCCTAATTATCAGACTGGAATATGTGATCCGAGATGTCGGTTGGGTTCTTTAGCTACCGTGTGATCTAACTGCATCGGACTCGAAAGCAACAATCATCCCCCACTGTGCTGCAATATGGGGCCCATCATGCAGGAGCGCACAGCATCCACGACACTGAAACGCGTCGTTTCCAAAGAGAAGATTCGGGTGAAAAATACCGAAAATAGCGGGACAGTAACCAGGTAGGCCTCGTTTACGCTGACGGGTATTGCACGTTTTTTTCCCTTTTTTTTCGTTTTATTTGTATCCTTGACGCGAAGGCGATCCTAACAAACCCGTGTTGTGTTTTTGCAGTTCAAAGAAGGGTAACAAGACGAAGAAATCTGTGGGCCAAATGAAAAATGGTCTCCCAGGACCAGGTCAAGATAAGGACACGGTGACAACAGTGCACAGAGTATGTAAATGATAGCCTGCTAAATTAAAGGGATGTAAATGTATACAACGTCATTATTATTTTTATTATTTGATAGCAAGATAGTGTTGCCTCATGAGTTCCTACCTGTGTACAAAAAGCAGAAGTAATGAGAGATTGTTTTACAGGGTGCACAATCAAAAGGTGCCAGAGTGAAGCCTTGCACTACACGCAATACAAGCAAAGTGTCCAGGTAAGAGTGGAGTTGGGGGTGTGCATGCTTTGCGATTACTTTGTAAATCCCTAAATCCCCAACAGCTTTTCCCCGTCTGTCTCCTTACAGCCCCGAAGAAGAAGGGGATTTGAGACCTCAGCTCCGCAAGCAATCTTATGCACACAGGAAGGAGGAAAAGCGAGAAAATCAACGTGTGTCCCAATGCACCAGCGAGCTCCAGCAAAACCGTGGGGGGATGGGAAAAAATCGGCGAGCCCTCTCGCTGCCTCTCTCTCCGATATCAGGAGTACGGCAAGTGCCGGCTCAGCCCCTGATGCACTCCCCAGCTCCCACCCCCGAGGCACTCCAGCAGCACTACAACCACAAAGATGATGACACAGACAGTGCAAGTGATCTGTCGGACTCTGAGAGGCTTCCAGTTCTGCCCTCCCCATGCACTCCCTGTACCCCTCCCCATCTCAACCTCCGGGCAGAGATCATCAACTCTAGCGACTTTCCCCCAGACTTTCCGGGACCCCATGGGGCAGTGGGTGATGAAGATGAGAATGAGAAACCCAGCTACAGTTACCCAGACTTTCTTCCTCCTCCCTTTAACAGTTGGAGTCTGAGACAGCTGGCAGTGTTTCTGCATACAGAGGGTCGTGGTGCCCCCCGGCCTAAGCCAGTAGGGCCCTTAGAGAAGTACCTGGAGAAGCTCCTCCAGCTGGAGTGGCTCCAGATTCAAACGGTGCAAGCAGAGAGCAGCCGTCTGCCTGGGAGCCGCCCAAGGCCACAGGGCTTCTCCTCTGCTACTACAGCTCATCAACCTAGGCCTCACACAGCTCCACCATCCCGACTCAACTCCCCAAAAGGGCTGCGGCACACCCAGCGAGCATTCCCATTTGCACCTGTCAACAACCCCCCATCACCTGCCTCAACCCAGCACCAAGTCTCCCGCCTTCCAGTCTGTCCTCACTGTCACATTCGCTACCCATTGTGCAATGGAAGCTGCTCTGCTTATGTCTACCAGCGCCACTCACGACTCAGCCCACTGCTTGAGCGCAGAGCCAGACCCAGTGCACCGACAAAAAGGAGCAGCAGTGAGACCCGAGCTCCCTCCACAGAAGGTAGGAGCCCAGGAGGGCAAGGTGGAAGTGTGGGAGGGGCTCACACCCCAGTTAGCCCCTCAGCTGGAAAGAGTCACCACAGGCAAATGCAGGCTGCAGGCAATGCCCGTAAGCTACCCCAGGAATCTGGCACTAACCCAAACAGCAGAGGTCAGGCGAGGAAAAGCCGTGTCAGAGCTAACTCTGAGACAGATGTTAAAAAGGAGGCTGGTGGCATGAAAGCAACCGGTGCAGAGAAACGTGCTTTTGCTGCAAGTAAGAGAGAGACCATGACATCCAAGAAAGAGGAGAGGGACTGGCAGAAGACAGAGGCAGTAGGCCAGGCCTCTAAAACAGCCATGAAAAGAGCTGCTAAAGACCTGTCCTCTCTCCCCAAAGCCCCAGTCAGTAGTAAGCAGTGCGGCAAGATGAAAAATGTGCACTTTGTCGCAAAGTAACCCCTGTAGACTTGCAATATAGTGCTTTCCTTAGAGGTTACTCGGTACAGGAGCTTGAATCTATGCTTGCTTTCTGTGTAAACTGTGTAATACTAACATGTTCTAACTGTTGTACAGCTAAATCAGTAAGTGGTGTACAGCCTTTAAAGGTCGAAACCATCAGCAATCGTGCAGCTAGAATACAGAAAATAAACAGGAAAGATAACTCGACATTTAAATAGAGCAGAACTATATACGCTGCATTTAATTCCGAATGTACAGTTATAGTTATATGGCTCACTATGAGCCTGAACACTGCTATTATTCAAAAAAGTAAAGCTTTTGTGTACAATAAATAAATAAGTAAAACTATTGCACTGCACAGTCATTGCTCAGTAATCCTCTAATGTTAAAATAAGCATTTACTGTCCCGCTGGCCAGTTTTCAGCATAAGTAATCCACAGTGAAGATAAACAGAGGTCACTATGTTTCAACCATCAAATACGACCATAGCTGTTTCAGTGCAATTTTTGAATGTTGGAATGTATTTGTTTTCAATGTTCTTATTTTTTTTCCTCAATGTTGCTTTTTATTGTTCCTTTGGTGCCTCCATGTTTTAAGACACATTTTGAGTTAAAGCAAGTTTAGGTGAAAAGGAGGCAAAGTAAGTGGTGGGGTACTGCAGTAATGAGGTCTGTTCCAGATATATTTGTGATATGGTTTTACATTTTTGGTTACAAGGGCTTTTCATGTTTGAACAGCTTGAATTGTAGTTATGATAATATACTGTATTTTGCATAGAGCTGAGCTCTTTCTATCATTGAAGACGGTGTAATGTTTGCTACGAATGTAAATGCATATTTTTCCAAATTTTATATGCCATAGTTATATTTATCAGAAGTGCTGTGGTTGACTTGTACTTTCTTCTTCTTCTTCTTCTTCTTCTTCTTCTTTTTCCCCCCATCATCATTGCTGTTTACACTGTCACGCACAAACACAAAAACGCAAAGAAAAAGAGCTGAATGTAACTTTGTGTCATTCCCAGGATTCAATGGAAGTTCAGAGGATCATAGCTACTAAGCTGTAATGTTCTACATATCACCTCCATATCCCATACTTGACGTCTGTAGGACACTGTGTTTACATGAGTATTTTATCTGTTTCTTGTGATTACTATGTGCACTTGATTCATGAAAACACGACACCAATGTAAATGTGCTACTTATTCTGACTGCACCTCTTAACTTAAATATCTATGTAAACTATCAAAGCCATAGATAAGGGGCCTGGAGTGGCAGTGTTGTTCTAAATGTGTACATTACATCGACATGCACGCAGAAAGATTGTGGTATGTACAGTATTTTCTCAATGTTGAATGCGAGTATTTGTAAGGCATAGAAATAAATGTTTTGCACACAAGCGGCACTGGTCTGTTGGTCATTCTTTGAAGCACCTGAAGAAATGGTGCCAGATTCACAAGTGTTTTTGTCATTGACATTGTGCATGCAAACATGCAAACACACGCTGCCATTCAAGCACATTGATTACAGTATTGGATTCAAAAGAAAAACCCTCTGTACTGGTGTATTTCTTGTTGAATGTAATGTAGGGTTGTTACATGGTTTGTAGTAGATTTTAAGCATCAGATCTGCACAGATAACTGTATAAAGCATTAGAAATGTATTTCCCCATAGCTGGCCGCTTAATTAGACCCCTCAATGCCACCCTGATTATTCAATCTTTAACACTAAGTACTGGAGTAGCAGCATTGTAGTAGAAAATCTCAATCTGATTATGCCTTCCTTTGGCATGGAAATGGTTTTAGAAGCTGGCGAAGCTGTTTCTCTCTGTCGTTTACACACCCTGCAACAAAGAAGAGGTTCTTAGAATGGGAATTACTGTTGCCTCGAAAAGAAAAGGAAAAAAAAACCAGGAGCAGCACATTTAGGCTACCTAGGTGTGTGTTGGCTGTGAAACCTGAGCTGCCAAATGTTTGTAGGTTGGCATCCTCTCTGTAGACAGGACCATCATTCCACATGAGATCGTAGCCACCCACTCTTTTCTCCTTCCCAGTGAGCCTAAGGAGAAAACAGTCCATTAGAACGCAGTATGCAAAAAAAGGAAATGGAAGTAAGCTTTTCAAAAGTGCTTCTTCACACTCACATTCTTAACTTTTAAATGTGCTATAATCCAGGCTCAGACCATATAAAATGACTGCAGGGAGGGGAAGTCCTCGAACTCTGCTCCCTAATGACAAAACGGAAAAACATATGAATGAGGTCTTTACCTTCCCTCCATATCCACAACATTCAAAGTGTCTTCCAGCAGTCTGCATTTCATCTCGTAATCCTCCTGACAGCTGGGCGTGTGTGATGGAGAGGCATTCACCTCAATTAACCACCTGTGGAAAGATGAAGGGTTGATTATGTTCAGCAAACATTTACTTTCATGCCACTGTGGGCCAATCCATGAGTACAGCAGACAGTTCATTAAGGATGGCTAGTATTTGCAGTGG